CCCGCCAGCTAGTTGACGCAGTCGCAAGATACGAATGTAAGTCGAGCGAATAAACGTTTTCAGAAGACTGAGTTGTAATTTCATTTGCATCAACCAAATATTAGTGTACATGTTTCCGTGTTGACACATGATGTTTTGTTGTGCTTGCAGGAGCATCGTCAATGGCACTTTCTCAGAGGTCAAAGAGGCGATGTTCTCGCACATGCCGTCACTCCAACTGCTGTAAGAGCTACTCTTATTTTCATCAACCAGGCACGTGCGCAAACATTTTGGGGCAGGTGCTTTATCCCCAGAAATGGGCACCCGTTGTCAAAATGATAGTTAAGAAAAAAAACGCATTTCTTTTTTTTGTTACACAATCAACACAGTCACTCAGGAAGGAGGTGAAGGGAACCGACGGTGAATATGAAAAGACTACGCAGGTCCGTGTGCCAAACAAAAATGAGATAAAAATAAATGATTTAAAAACTTTTTCCCCACTATTATCCTGTAGAATGTAAAACTTTAATTGAAAAAAAAATATGTATTCGAAATGGGAATGAAGTGGAAAATCAGTTTCAGGAAAAAAAAAACAGCTGCAGAAGGGAGACTTTTTTCGGCAAAGGGGCAATAGCTTTAGCACCACCTAGTGGCGATGTGTGCACATGCCGACTAAAATCAAGACGTTCATCATAAGGGTTTGGTGTGGATTATTTGGGGAACTGTGGAGCCCGAGGTTGTTTTGTAGCTTGTGCATGAAAGTCACAGATAGATTGATGACCTAATAAACGCTTTTAGAAAGCTTTTAGACGCTTCTAACACCTTGGCAATTATTGCAAGCATAGCGGTACAAGTCTTTGGCTTGCCACCAAGAGCCATCACTCTCCCTACCGAAGTGCTGCTGCCAGTGTGTGACAACAGCATCCACGGCACGTTTCGAAATGAAATTTGCCCCCCCGCCCCACCCCACCCCACATATTCAGCCTTTCACATGAGTCTGTCCTTTGTTTTATTCCAGGCTTCTCAATTCCAACTCTCTTACCACCATAAGGGATGATGCCTTCTCTGGCCTTCCACATCTCGAATACCTGTAAGTGTGTCGCAGGAAATGAAGGATGGGTAAACAGACTGAGCAAGTTGTTGTTCTTGGACAGGTTCATTGAGAGCAACAAAATCGAGACCGTCTCCAAATATGCCTTCCGAGGACTCCGGGACCTCACCCACTTGTATGTTCCTCACTTTACATTTGGCTCAACTGGAGATGACGGCAGAGAAGATTTTATGGATTGTTGTGTTTGGTTGTCCGACTGTTTTTGCGGCCTTAGGTCCTTAGCAAACAACAAGATCAAGGCGCTGCCTCGGGATCTCTTCAGCGAGCTGGACTCGCTCATCGAACTGTAAGTTTGGCAATATGCGGGTTTTTTTTTTTTTTTTTTGCTTTTGTGGTAATCAAAAACGTCAGCGGTCATCTTCCACAGCGACCTGCGCGGCAACGTCTTCCAATGTGACTGCCGAGCCAAGTGGCTGATGACGTGGTTGCGGAACACCAACGCCACCGTGTCCGACGTGCCGTGCGCCGGGCCGGAGGACCTCAAGGACCGGCGCCTCAACGACATGAGCTTGCAAAACGAGTGCGTCTCAACGGGTGAGAAACGACAACACACAAACCTGCGCCACGTCCAGAAACAATATTTAGCTCATAACACGATCAAAGCACACTTGAATAATAAATAAAATCCAGCAAACTCACCGGAGAGGCTGATTATTAAATGTCTTGAGAGAGATCGCTACCGACACATTTTCCAGCAGTCAAATTTTGCTTCCTCTGACAAACCAGTCAGAGGACAGAAAAATGCTGACATTACTGTGGCACGGCCAGTTAGCCCTATGAGGCTAATTTATTTAAGGAAACAGTTTCATTGCTAATCTTGTTTGGAAGTATATGCCCTCCTCGTCCAGGACTGCAAATTTATGTGCAACGTCATAGCATTTGGAAATACTGTGTTGTAGCCTCGCAAGTGAGCTCTCTTGTAACACTGGCAGTTCTCAGCATCTTTGAAACCAAACGGAGAGCTGATTTGGAGCAAAAAAATAAAATAAAAGGATACCTGCAATGCATACTGCGCAGAATGAGATGAAGCACAAGTATCCGGAGAGAGGCGGAAAAATGACATTGCTTCGAAATGGAAGCTGTCGGTTGGTGCATGACTCAGCATTGACGACGAGAATTCCCTTTGGCAGATTTCATCCTGCATCAAAGCGTGAGCTCAGAATCCCTGTCCGTCGACACGTTCGGCTACAAGAACGACGTCTTCGTGGCGGTCGCCGCTCCTGGCGTGGAGAGCTGCATGGTCCTCCAGTGGGACCACATTGAAATGAACTTCAGGACTTATGATAACATAACGGGTACGCTTGTCCTCCAATTCGTGGCAGTCCTCTGGTTTTCCGCGGGTCATTAAAAAGCATTATGGGCCATTGAATGGATTTTGGTCAAAATTAAGGCCATAAATGGCATTAAAAACCAGTCAATGTCGGTTAGCAATTAGCACCCAGCAACCTAGCTGGGTGCTAACATTAAAAAGCAGTCAATGTTGGTTAGCAGTTAGCACCCAGCTAGGTTGCTACAGCTCCTAAAGGGGTCTACATGGGCACTCCCGGACCCATTTGAGAGCCAAGAGCCGAGTTTTTGCCAGACTTCCAAGTCACTTGCTCTTTAAACTTGAGGTGTATTCTATTCAGCAACTCGGATAACATAGCAGATAGCTCGTGTAACATCTGCGCACGAGTACGCATCAGTATGAAACTTAACTAAGTAAGCTAAATAATGGAAAGGAGTGACTACAGACTTCCAAGTCACTTGCTCTTTAAACTTGAGGTGTATTCTATTCAGCAACTCTGGTAACATTGATAGCTCGTGTAACATCTGCGCACGAACGACAGCACGCATCAGTATGAAACTTAACTAAGTAAGATAAATAAGGGCATACAATGCAAAAGGAGTGACTATAACTCGATTTGGCAATCATAAATCTGATCTGCGATTGGCTGGCAACCGGTTCAGGGTCTACCATGCCAACTGCCCGAAGGCAGCTGGGAAAGGTTCCAGCATGCCCGCGACCCTCTTGAGGACATGCGGATTAGAAAATGGATGGATGGATGGTTAATTGTGCAGTGATCCCAATAAGGAAATCCCACCTCGGCGAGCCGTCACAGTGGACTTTTGGACTCTAGCTGGTCTGGTTTTCACATCTTTCTTTCAGGTCAGTCCATCGTGGGATGCAAGTCGGTGGTGATCGAGGACCAGGTATTCGTCATCGTTGCTCAGCTCTTTGGCGGCTCACACATCTACAAGTTCGACGAGGACCAAAGCACCTTCACCAAATTCCAGGACATCGAGGTGTCCAAGATCTCCAAGCCCAACGACATCGAGGTGTTTCAGATCGGCTCCGATCGCTTCTTCGTGATCGCCGACAGCTCCAAAGCGGGCCTGTCCACCCTCTACAAGTGGAACGACAACGGCTTTTATTCCTACCAGTCCCTTCACGAGTGGTACCGCGACACGGACGCCGAGTTCCTCGACTTGGACGGGAAAGCGCACCTGTTGTTGGCGAGCCGCTCGCAGGTTCCCGTCATCTACCAGTGGAGCCGCAGCAACCGCAAGTTTGTCCTGCAGGGCGAGATTCCCGACACGGAGGACGTGGTGGCCGTCAAGCACTTCCGCATCAAGGGCGAGCTCTACCTGGCCGTCACGCGTTACATCGGAGACTCCAAAGTGCTGCACTGGGGCGCCAAGCAGTTCTCGGAGATCCAGGCGCTACCTTCGCGTGGCGCCATGATCCTGCAGCCGTTCTCCTTCAAAGAGCGCCACTATCTGGCCCTGGGAAGCGACTACACCTTCTCGCAGATCCTTCTGTGGGATGATCAGCAGAGCGTGTTCGAGCGCTTCAAGGAGGTCTACATCCAGGCGCCGCGATCCTTCACCCCCGTGTCCACGGACCGACGGGACTTCATCTTTACGTCCAGCTTCAAGGGCAGCACGCAGATCTGGGAGCACGTCATCGTCGACTTGAGCTCGTGAGTCCCTGCGCCGTGTTGCCAGGCTCGGACAATCCAAAGTCTTCCGCAAAATGAGGAGCGACGTGTCGGGGGATTTGGCTCGCAAATGGGTGCGATTTTTATTTTATTTTTTTCAGAAAGTTGCCAGTAAATTTCCGAGAAGTTCCGTGTCAATTTCCAGGAAGTTAAGATGGGGAACTGTGGAAAATTATCAGACTCAAGCCTTAATAGGAACATTTTTATTTTCTCTGAAGCAGACATTCTATGACGGCATTTCAAAAGATTTACTTGCAACTAGCATTTGATTGAACAATTAATTACACTGGTCAACCCACAAATTTTAAGTGGATATTGCTTTATGTGTCCCTAAATGTATTTTTGATGCTGATTTGAAAAATGTCTGGACTTTTTTTTCTCTGGCACATCAGGTTTTTGAAATTCTCATTATTTGTTTGACGTGTAAAAGCTTGCGCCAGATGGATTTTACCATGCATTTAATTTCCAGCTATGATATTTCAGAAAAAAATGTTGACCCCTTTCTGAACCCAATATTACTAAATAGAATATTATTATTAATATTACTATGAAAACCTGATATGCTAGAGGAAAAAAAGGATCAAATTCTGAATTAGCACTCAAAAAAAAAATCATAATCTAGAGAAATTAACTTGCATCAAATTTTGCAAAAATTTGCTCATTTCACCGGAGCAAAATCATGAATGAATAATTACCACCACCACCACCCCCCTATCCAAAAACCCCAATGAAAAAAAATCGCCTCTCCCTTCCCAAAATTCCAAATCAGGTCTTCTCAAATTTTTTACGCCAAGCGCCACCAAAAACGTTCCACTAAAATGTATCGCACATCAGTAAAATACAAACTGTACCTCAGTAAAAGCAAGCAGTATGATATGAAATGCAAATTTCTTGTACTTAAAGTTAAATACAACTGAACAGAACTTAACAAGTGTAGTGTGCCGGATTAAACGCAAACCTCATGCCAGTGTGGCACGTAGCACGGTTTGAACATTTCATTCATGGATTCTTTGCGCACCACTCGATGCAGCACACCCGCTTTATTTGCCCAGTCTCAAAATCATCCGTGCATGTGACGTCGGAATGCACGTTGCATGTCGGGGGCGTGCGCTCCATCGCCTGCACTGAGCATAATCAGCTGTACTCGAATGACATTTTGCTCTTTTAGACACGATTATGCTAGGAGCTAAACTTCCAAGTTTGTAAATTCCTGCTTTATTGCCTAACCCCCATGGAAAGTTTCAAACGTTCCAGTTCCCCGATGGAGAGTTTAACTTCTTTCCATGTAAAATTAACCTGGAATTTTTGACTGCACCCCCTCAAATTTTCACCAAATGTTGAGGTGTGATTGAAAAAAAAAAATGAAAAGGAAAAGACCATTTGTGAGCTCCATGCCGTTGGATGGAAGCCCGCGTGCTAACGTCCCGTTTGTTGCCTTCTCAACACGTTGCCGTCATGAACGGGTGTCGCAGCCCTTTGCTTCTCCTGTGCAGGGAATGTCTTGAAGCACAAACCTTCAATGATGGTCATCCATTACGGTCATTATGCCACACCGCTAACAATGTTTCATTTGGGGCCGGGGGGGGACAAGGCAACGCTCATCCAACACCAAATGAGACATGAGCCATGTTTCCGAATGACACATTTGTACTCAAAAAAAAAAAAAAAAAAAACGCAGACAAGCCTGGCCCTCCAAAATGGATCTCAACAGCTTTGCGTAAGGACGTCAACCTGTTTGAGCAGTTTGTCAGAGCATGAAAGCAAATATTTGAAGCAAAAGATGTTCGAAACGTCATGAATATCCATCCAAGCTTTCCGAATGTCAACGTAATAAAAGCCAACATTACAAGCTGGGCTCGACTATTACTTCTCCGTGCTTTCGATTTGGGGCAGGGGGGACTCAATGGCTCTTGTGCAGCTTGACCCTAAACCATTATTATCACGAATAGTAGGCTTAAAGAAATAAACCCATAGATTGTATTGTATGGCATTTAAGATGACCGTTCTTAGCACTGTTAAAAAATATAACACGTTTAAGAAAGTGTTTAAAAAATGTGTTAAGTGTTAAACGTGTGTACAGTGAGGTATAGTAAGGTTAAAAAAAGACCATGCAAAGTGAAGCATTAAAAAGGCAAAATTTTGACTTTTTTTTTAATAAGGAAAACTAGCAATCTATAATATTGCACTTGATAGAAATGTAGCTTAATGACATAATTAAATAGAATGTAAATAATGAAACTGATTTAATGCTGCAATCCAGTTCAGTGTGCCACTCCTTCTAGTGTCCCCGGCTTGACCACCAGGGGGCAGTGCTGTTTTAATAGTTATCCAGAAACAAACAAAGAGGAAGGCTACTCATTCTTTTTCGTTGCGGTTAAAGAATAGAAGTCCGCGAGTCCTGTCGTATTCTACGTGTTGCTTCCAAACCTCCGATGATCGATGCTAACCGTTTGTATGTCAATGGTGCTTAGCATTGCGTTAGCATAAAAGCTAAGTTCGGCCGACGTGGTTGTTTTCAAAACACAAGGTGTACTTCTATCCTTGTTAGTTTTGTTTAATTCTAGAGTCCGCTTCAGCCGGGAGCGGCACGAACCATCTTGAAGCCACTTTTTTTTTGCAAGAATCGCTCACTATCGGCCAAACTCCGCTGCTTGCTGTCAAGTGTAAAAAGTTCGCAGGCACCATCACAGCGCTCAGCACTCGAACGTGAGCCGCCGACGCGTACTTTGCTGTCCCGACACGCTCGCTGGCTCAATCGGTGGCATCCACCGCGTTGACGTTGCTGTCCAGCTGGTGTCGAAAAGACATCCTGGCTTTGGAGGAGAAATAGACGTGGGATCCCCGAGCTAGGCCATCGCTTCCCCATGACGCGCTGGAGGCCACGCGGAGATTCCTCTCCTCTTTGTGGGTGACAGCAAATAGTCAAGTTTAGCCCAAAGGCTGCGATTCGGTCATCAGATGCGCGTCTCACCTGCCGCTGTGGGGAAGCCTTTGTTTTTGCAACGCTCTTTGCAGTGTCTGTAGAAGGGGAAACACTGCAGCATCTTCACACCCATGATGCTAAACTGTCGAGAAAAGACCACAAGGCCGGTAAATTAATTTGGACCAGTCAGAAAACGCAATGCTGAAAAGAATTATTCCCCCGATTTCTAATCCATTTTCAGATGACGACACGGTAGCTCGCGATCAACACAGAAATCGACGAATGACATCACCTGCCAGGTGAGTTGTCGAGTTTTTATTTTCTGCGTTGCTTCAATCCCCTCACAGAATCTTTTTGACCCAACATGGAGCAGTCTCAATTTCTCACATGGGCTTGTTGGCATTTTACCAATTTATCAAGATTCATACGTTATGTCCGGCGTCCCCGCTCATTTTATTTTGTTCGCCCGATGGGATGTTGGAAATCCAATGTTGCTTTACTTATTACTTGACAATAAAAGTAACTTAATTTTCTTACCAATTGCTTCAGTTTTAAAGGAACAAAATTAATTTACAGATTATGAGTTACAGATGCCAACAACCCCGCTTAACATAAAATTGACAGCCAGTTTTTAGACAGTACTTAATTGGAAGAATTTTTAACATTGACGTCGAAGAATGTTTTTTTTTTTTTTAAACATAAAATAACCGTTTTTGACTTAACATAAGTAATGGTTTATATTTGGGGAAAAATGAGTCTATGGATTTCACTTAACAAAAATACAGTTTGGTTTTTAAGGCCGTCTCTTTTGGCCTGACATATTAACTGTTCATGTTGTCATTGCAACCGTAACATTTAAAATATATACTGTTTGTAGATGAAAAGATTACTTTTAGGGACCTTGTGCACTCACAGCCATGTGGGTTGTTCTCTTTAAGCTTGAATGTGCTACGATACTTTTTTTTTTTAATGTACTGGTAGTGTTTTTGAAACTATATCACACTTTGTCAACAGCAAAGAGTTTGTAATGTCCCTTAATATTTCCTTTAGCTGACACAAACATTGTAAAAATGGATGTACTGGAGTGACTACATCATTGGTGACAATCATCTGCAGTACTCGAAGTAGGACAGCTGGTATTGTTTGACTTTTTTTATGACCAGATTGTCCATTGACCTTTATTTTTCCATCCTTGCATGCGTATTTTGACTTTTACAATTCATGCCTGTCTGGACTAAGAATGAGAGCTGGATTGTAGTGTACTTATTGTCAATCTTGTGCAATGTCAACCTAAGCAGTGCGGGACTACAAATTCAGATTAGCAAATTAGGTCACATTGCAGAAACAGGCAAAGGCCGAATGAGCGGGTGGGAGACCTGGCCTATTTACAACCGTGGGTGAAAACGTAGCTTGCCACACTTTTCCCTTTCCTTCGAATGTTCCGGGTCAGGTCAAATGATTCTGACAGGAGTCGCGGCACTTGCTCATCTGTCCGTTTGCACCCGAAAGACATGAAGTCTTTTCTCACTTTTGATCGATGCAAATACGCCGCTGACACAGACTGCCTTCTTTCTTGCAGGTGGCAGCTGCGCGGACGCGAGCGACGTCATACGGCCGTCACCCGTTCGATCGCATGTTTTGATGGTCCGCATGCAAAGACTTCCTCTTGTCAACAATAAGCTAAACCCCACCAAACACGAAGCGTTGAAGAGTGGCGCACACCACACGTGTGTCATCAACCAGGTTGAGGACAGCACTGTGTTCTCTTCAAAATCATTTTCGCGAAACAAAAACTAGTTGCAATCCGAAACCATCACAGTGGATTTTGCAAAGCAATCCAAAGCACCCACCTGACTCCAAGAGGACTGCAAAGGGAGCGGGATGAGGTGCGAGCCAACAATGGAAAGCTTCCTTGTGTTCCCTGCACTCGCCGAGTGAACTTTAAATAGCTCCCCCCCAGCAGTGTAGGACACGCCTGCTTTCTTTTTTTTTTCCTCCCTCTCTCTGACTCTTCTTCTCGCTGCCCTTCAAGCTTTTTGCCTTCATCACATAGTCACTGAGGGTCGTCCAGTACTTAGCGCGATCCTTTTTCTTTCTAAAGCGCTCATTTGTTACAGCAGTCTGATTGTGCGTTTAAATCCAATCAATCGTGAATGTTTTCCCCAAACAAAATGACTACAGAGATGTTTACAAAGCTTCATTGTCAACATTGATGACATCACGGGGGCCACCCGGCATCAAATATGAAGGACGGCTGCTAAAAGACAATCTGGCTAGTCTGTGAATCAATCTTTGGAACATCCACGCAAAATCTCTTCGGTTCTCCATTTTAAGCCACTTCAAATCAAAATGGCAGACTTGCTGTGGCGTTTTAAGGTGTTTTTCTTTCTTTCTTTCTTTCTTTTTTTTTTGTCACTGAAAGTGGCTTTGGAGGTTTTGTTGTTCAAAAGCTCCTCAGCTTTAGTGATGCTGATAGCAAATGTATATTTTCACCACTTGCAAAAATGTGGCTTAATAAAGTTGATTGATAAAATAGTGCTCATTTGCAGTGCTAAGATACTGTTGCTAAAGGAAAGGAGCA